TTAAGTTTGTTTTTAAAAAATATTTTCAATTTCAAAAATTATTTTCTACTCTAGTAAAAATAAAATATATTTCTCAAAAACATTTTTCATTCATAAATCAAACACTAAAAAAAAATTTCGAAAAATATTTTCTAGTCACCAACCAAACATGAAAAAATAAGTCAAAAATCAACTTGTTTTCTAGGAAAACATTTTCCTTCATACCAAACACACCCTATGTTCAACTTTATGAGTCCATTAAACAGTTTTTGGTCACAAATCAGCCACACCACTTCATTTGCAAAAAAAAGTCAAGTATCTTGGGGAGAAATACAAGAACACTTTAAAGAGCACCAGAACTCTGACCATCCCACATGAGGAAGAGTTCTTCTACCAGGACTTAGTGTTAACAACTATCAGCAGGAATCAGTCTAATCCACTGCAAGTAGCTCTTCAACAATACAAGTTAGTTTCTCAAAGTTTGAATACTAGGAAGAGTTATGTCAACCAAATATTCCGGCCGTGGGTAACCCAAAAAAGGTAATATATATCATCTTTTTCATTTTCTTATCAACGTCAATTAATATACTAATGTGATGGTTTACTAGTTTGTTTTAAAGATTGCCTAGACTTGTGTCATGGTTGCATATTAATTATTCAAATATAAATTATTGCTGGCAACCAATTATTCTACTTGTGGTAACACGCTTTCCGCATCTTAAGGATTTTTAATACATGTGTAAAGATTTTTACGCTTCTCATGTAATTAAATTCCTCTCTTTAGCTTAAAAATTAAGTTGTGTATCTGAGTACTGTTGTTGAACTTCACTATCTATGCAATTTTATGATTCATATTTTGCTATGCTGAACTCCTTTGTCTTGGTACCTTCCAAGTGCGTCTATTTTTTTTTCTTATGAATAACTTTTATACAAGGAGGAACTTTCTGAACTAGAGGAACAAAAGATAGCAAGGAGCTATTTCGACACAAAGATACAACATGCACAATTGGTTTCAGATGCCTATAATGCTAGCCATGGTTTTGGTAAGCTTTCTATCTAACTAAGAATATCTAGTTCTCATCGTGTGTAAGGGGAAAATTAATCTTATATTGATGTTGATATACACTTGTTATTGCTTGGAATGATCTGAATCTGAAGCAGTTTTAGGGGTTAGATTCATTGATGATCTTTTGGGGCTTTTATTTTCAAATTAAGTAGTGTGTTTGTGTGCGTGGTTCGAGTTTTAAAAATAGCTGCTGGTGCCAAATACGGTTGTGCATGAGCATCAACAAGCTTTTCACATGTGGCGTTTCCTTTCAAGTGGTCTCTTGGGCCTTGCTCTCTTCCTGTTCGCTTTGTCGAAATATAAGCAATTATTTTGTTGTTAGTGAGCTAAATTAATTAGGACTATTTCAACAAACTTTTGGCATCGAAGAAAGAAAAATGATATCAATCCCAATTGTCAATCTAACTTTGCCGTCCATGATTAGTCCAAATTACATTAAGATTGGATCCTTGTTATCCACATACCCTAGAAGGCGTTTTTGCCCTATTCACAAACTTTACGGTGCATCGGAAGAATATGTGTTCAGCAGGGGCATAAATGATAGAAAATATAGTTTCTGTAGAACTTATTTCTACAATTTTGTAGGCTTTCTATACATGCACAATACATAAACATACTCAAACTTAGCCTAACCTGACAAATAAACACTTCAACTTTGAGAGTGCACATGTAGACACCTCAACTTGGTCTAACTAACAACAAAATACTCCGACTCTACTCCATTGTGTCTCGTGGACACTCAAACTTGACATGACACATAAATATTACAGGTGTGTTAGATGATAATTTTGTAAGTTGGAGTGTTCAACTGGCACACTGGAGATGAGTTAAGGTGTCTAGATGTGCCTACTTAAAGTGGGAGTGCTTACTTGCCAATTGAGGCGAAGTTTGAGTGTCTGTTAATGTATTATGCCTTTTATCTATGCTTTAACTTCAAATTTATTAATTTATTGTAGGATGAACCTTTTGGAACTCGATCCCAACTGGATTCATTCCTTCATTTGAAAGTAACTTCCCTCCCTTCAAAGAATATATCACCAAATTCATTTTTCTGGTAATTTCATACTTATTGGCTAAAGGGAAAAGAAATGAACAAGTTGTCCCCTATATAGGGGGAACGATACTCTTAACCTTTAGACATCTAGCCCTTTCTGATTTTGCATGATTAGGTCCATCTATATGAAACTATCTGATGTAGTTTGGCATAACTTCTTCAGTAGGGGTCACATAATTGATGGTACCAACAATTGGATTTGGTGTCTTTCTGACTAGCATTTCTGCTACGGGAAGACCGTGGATTAACTAGCAGACAATCACACATAAAGCTAATAGAGAAGAAAAATAACACAAGAATTGGATTTGGTGTCTTTCTGACTAGCATTTCTGCTACGGGAAGACCGTGGATTAACTAGCAGACAATCACACATAAAGCTAATAGAGAAGAAAAATAACACAAGAATTGGATTTGGTGTCTTTCTGACTAGCATTTCTGCTACGGGAAGACCGTGGATTAACTAGCAGACAATCACACATAAAGCTAATAGAGAAGAAAAATAACACAAGAATTGGATTTGGTGTCTTTCTGACTAGCATTTCTGCTACGGGAAGACCGTGGATTAACTAGCAGACAATCACACATAAAGCTAATAGAGAAGAAAAATAACACAAGAATTGGATTTGGTGTCTTTCTGACTAGCATTTCTGCTACGGGAAGACCGTGGATTAACTAGCAGACAATCACACATAAAGCTAATAGAGAAGAAAAATAACACAAGAATTTTACGAAGTTCGACTAAGCCTAACCCTCGAAACAGAAGCAAAGAGTTTTCCACTATGAAAGAGAAGAAGTGTACAACGCTAATTAATTCCCAACTACAGCCCCTATATAGAGACCTCAAATAGTCCAAACCTATAAAAAAAAAAGGTTCTTCCAATCCTACAAGAACATTATATTTTACTTTCCCAAATCTATTAGGACAATGAATTTCCTAATCATACTAGGGGAAAATTCAAGGCATAATTAAGAAATATTACCCTTGGCCCGAATTCTCTTCATCAACATGAATATCTCTTTGCCTTGCCTTGAACCCTCAAACGGGATCTACTGAGTACTGTACACGCCAATCAAATCTAGGCAATGCGTAAACTTGTTGGCCGAGACTGCCTTGGTCATCATATCCTCCAAAATATCATGTGTAGGCAGTTTCTTCACATCAACAACCCCTTTGCAACCTACTACCTTTTGTTCCTTTGGCAATGAACCAAGCTTCCATGCTTGATGAAGAGACTCAATCTCTTCACCCATAACTCCAACCCACTATTCAACTTCAGAACTAAAAATAACTTCTTTATTACTATTAAGCTCAAGCACATCAATTGTCTCTACAACTGACAAAGCAAATTTTACAAGATTTGCATATCCAAGAAGATTCCCATCAACTACATCCGCAAACCTTTTTGGTGGGTTGATCACTCTCTTCTCTTCTCTCCACCTGTTGTAATGCTATATGATTGTTGTTTCATAAGTGAATCAACAATATCTTGATTAAGGTTTTGCACCTCCTTCACTTCTGAACTTCTGGCTGTGCTAGTGGAGATTCAATTTGTAGCTCTATGCGGTCACTGATCTCTTTTTGCTATTGCCTTCTTTCTCTAATAGTCTTGTGAGGCAGATTCATTGAATGTAATATCCCTACTAATAATTAACAGTGTAGCCTTCTAATCTGCGCACTACAACTTGTAACCTTCCACTCTTGTTGCATACCATAGAAATATGCACGTCTTTGCCCTCAACTCAAGTTTTCCATCCTTCACATGAGCATAAGTAGGACAATCAAATATCCTCAAATTTGAATAATCAGCAGGCAAACATGATCATATCTCAAAAAGGGTTTTGAATTCAATAGCTATTGATGGAGACGAGCTTTATTGATTGCTTCAGCCGAAAAATCCTTGCTAACATATGAGTGTGAAATCATGTTTCGTGCCTTGTCACTAAGTGCTATGTTCATACGTTCTACAACAACATTTTTTTGTGGTGATCCAACACAAATTTGGTGTCTCACTATGCCCTCTCTACTGCATCAATCATTGATGAGTTGCAAATTTCAACCCATTGTCCGTCCGAAGATACTTGACTTTTCTTTCAGTCTTCATCCAGTGTTGTCAAAAGCAAGTCCACCGAGTTTAGAAGGCTGTGATTTGTCTAATAGGCAGGTCACATACTGATATCTCGGTTATCAAAAAAAAAAAAGCACAAAAAAGCTTTAAGTTTATTGGGGCTTTAAGTGCAAAGTGCAAATGAAGTGTGGAATTTAAGAAGACAGACACAGAGGGAGAAAAAAATACAAATATATGTGTTTAGTCCAAGGCTAATAATTTTTAAGCATGATGGAAGATATATGTCACGACCCGACTTTCCGAGTTATGATGACACCTACTAAAACCCACTAGTAGGTAAGCTAACCCGTACCTGAAACAAGAAGTAGCAAGTACAAAGGTAGAACTAAATAGAAAATAATGTTAACAACAACAAAAGACAAAAATGGAAAGCAAACCAAAAACTATATACAAAGGAACCCTCGTAGAACCTGGAAGTCACGAGTACAGAGTTGTCTAATGAGATAAATACAAGTTCCAAAAGAGGACCACAACAAGCTGTCTTAAAGGCAAAAGACAAGCTAATCTAGTTCGCCAAGTGCTCACTCTCGTCTCTGACATCCACAAGCTGCAAAAGATGGCACGACCGATCACCGCTGGTAGCTGGTACAAGGACTTGCATCACGAAAAGATGCAGAGTGTAACATAAGTACCAAAATAAGGTACTCAGTAGGCGTCATAGGTTGACCGAGCAAGAAAGGTAAAGACAATTTGATAAGATAGAATCTAGACACAAACAGATGCCAAAGCTAATATGAAAATAAGGCACACAAGTATACAAATAGTAAATCTAAGTACAATTAAACTAAACCTAATTGGACCACATAAGCCCAGAAGTTAACACTCGTGCGCAAGTTCAAATAAAAACCCGAATGGACCCCCATAAGCCCAACATGTACACAAAATAGCTAATTCTACAAGATAGAAGAGTAATCCAGAATTCGAATCCAAGAACTAGTCAACTCCCAACCCATCTAGCAAGAATGACAATCAACTCAACTAGTCAACTCCCAGCCCAGCTAGCAAGAGTGACTATCAATCTAGGTCGCCCAGTCATACAATCCACTCCTAGGAGTCAACCGCCCAGCTAGTAAGAGTGCCTCAAGGTTGTGTCAACTCCGTAGAAGATCTCAGATATCCCCGCCGCCTAGCCAGCCAACCCACTCCTAGGGGCGTCAATCGCCCAACCAGCCAACCCACTCCCAGGGGCTTCCACCTAGGCAACCAACCCACTCCCAGGGGTGCCAACCGCCCAACTAGCAAGATTGCCCGGGGGCATATCGACTCTGTAGAGGATCTCAAGTAGGCTCCAAGCCATAGTGGATCGACGTCCACCCTCAATGATATCAGAAAAGGCTCCAATCCGAGAAAACCACAATCTCTAGTAATGCATTGAAGTCCTAGAAATAGGGAGAGGAGACAGAAATGGCCAACAAGTTGTGCAAATGCCTAAACTAAGGCTTATTCTATTAGACCCAAGTCTCCTATTCCAATCTACAAGGACCTAGTCCATTCCAAATGACGTCAGAGACATACCATAGTTGCACGTGTATGGGTCTAAGGCAACACTAGTTTGTCCTAGACTAAGAGCCTGTTTGACATTGCTGCTAAAAACTCCTTATTTTTAAAAGCGCTTTTTTAAAAATAGCTTTTCAGAAAAGTGCTTTTCAAAAAAAGCAATTTGTGTTTGGCAAATTCATTTGAAAAGTGTTTTTGATAAGCAATTTGTGTTTGGCTAATATTCTTTAAAAAGTGCTTTTGAGAGTCAAATTTAGAAAAAGGACAAGTATCAATGTGTTTTTAATATTAAGATTATTT